AATGAGTTTTTTTTAAATACTGTTTTATTTTACTTTCAATGTAGTTTTTTCGCAAATGTATTAAAAAACGTCGTTTGATACACGTGCGGATTTGTCATTTTCACATGCCTCGAGACTCGTGAATAATGACTAACTTTCCGCACTTGTATCAAAAATAACTATTATTTATTTTAAATTTCTTATCAAGGGTGTTAATTTGGATGCATTACTTTAAGAAACTTTGTGCTTTAAGATACGAATTTGAGAAAGTAAGGCGACGTTATGCGCAATTTCTTAGGACAGCAATATAAACGAGTAACAAATTTATAAAAGGAATTGTTTTAACAATTGCCCATCTCAATGTTATTGTATACTTAATAATGCATACTTTAAAGTGTAATAAGTATACAAGGTGTCTAAAAAAGGTATAGTAAAACCTTTTACTATAGATAAAACAGATATTTGGTTCCTATCCGTTATCCGGCCATAAGATAGCAACCAAAAATATATCCAACAAATATATTATATTTCCCGAACCGGTGGTCAATATCAAATAAATCTGAAATATACCTATCATAGTTTTAAAAAGATTTTATATAACATCTTTAAAACCTCCTGTATATATAAAGTACCGTAATATAACATGCTATGTAATAAATTTTAACATATATACACAGATATATAACAATATAATATGCGATAGAGGTAAAAATGTAGTACTAAAGTTTTGTTCATAATAGTTATGTAATATTTTCAACAACGCTTAAAATTCAGAAGGGACTGTTGCTTACGAAACAATGGCAAAACGCATATCGTGACGTAATTTTAAAGGACAGTAATTAAACTGGGTACATTGATAAGCTATTGTTAGTAATAGGTACTCTATTTATTTCATTTCAATATCATTTTTCAGTCGTTATTATCCCACTGCAGGCTAAAGGCCTCCTTTATCTTCCTCCATTCATCGCGATTTAACGTAGCCACACACGGATTTTGTATGAGCATCTACCTCGTCACGCCATCTCTTTCTTGGTGTTCTACGTCTCCGTTTTGCATTTGGTGGGAGCCACTCCATGGTAGTTTTTGCCTACGGCTAACAAGCAAACGTGTCCGTCTGCCGAGTCAGTTCCATTTAAGGCTGAAGGCTTTTTGATCAATTTGTTTTGGAGCGCAGTGTAATGTACCGCACGGCTCGACAGTGTTACTCCCAAGATATAGATGACGAATAATTGTATGCGTGTTGGTCTTACCATTTTAGATATTCAACGTTTTATTTTGACGTAATAGTCGATACTACCTCAGCTCGAATTACATTTTTTCCCGTATTAATACGGTTCATTTTGATCGAGCCGACCGGCAGGGACACTGCTTTTATTTCAGAATTTAGTTTTTTTTTATAAACGAAATTAAATCCATTTCAAAAAAGTGTTCTATTTAGTTCAGTTGACATTAAAAAAATCATTGGTATAAAAGTACCTATTGAATACAGCGGTTTTCTTGTAAAATCTCGAGGTAAATTTTTGTTTTTTTTTTTTTCTATGGTGAACATTTTTAGGAATCGTGTTTTCACACCGTATAGCAATTTTACTATTTTTTTTTTTCCAAGGTGATTAATTCAACATTTTTACTGTTATGCTGAATCAACCAAAGCCATTTGAATTTGTATAACTTCAGGTGGAGTGGAGTCATTTGCCTGCCTGATGTTGTAGGTTTAAAATCCTTTAATTTGCCACTCTTACATTTTTGCATTACTTTTATATCACAAAATTTAAAATGCAACAGTCCCCAATCAAAGAAGACAATTTTTATTTCAAAATAGAGTGCGTTAGTCGGGAATGTAGGTGAATTATTCATATATTTTATTTTTAAAATTTCATTTATGAAAATATAAAGTGGGTAGTGACTGAATTTAAAAAAAATGTACATATAGGCCCTACTGCTTATACCTCAAGACGATTATTTTTGTAGTTTTTTTTAAAATTATATTTAATGTGAATGTTACTAGAAACAAATGATGAAAACAACGTGAGTGACGAAATAGAAAAACTTAAAATGGCAGCTATTAATTAGTTTTACTATTAGACACGGGAAATGTTTATTTGGGCAATTGGACGAGAAATTATGTGTTATGAAATTTTGGGTATCAGAAGTAATCCTGGGGGCCTACTATGAGCTTATAAGCGGCCAGCCAAGTTCCATGCAATTCACTTGACGTGGTAAAACTGAATTGCTTAAATTCGTATCATGACCTACACAAAGTTGAACGCGGGAATGGCATGGCCGGATGATGAGTGTGTGGATGATGTTTACTTTTTAAAGGTTAATTATTGTCTCTGGCTAGCTAGGTGACATCGAACAAGAGCGTAATGGAACTACATACTATATCATACAAAAGATATAGACAGATTTACTATACTGGGAGAGTTCAAGCACTATTAACCGATAATTATATTTTTTTATTAATTTTATTATTAACTATACTTACTACGTTGTTTTGTAATATCAGCAATTTGTCTTATGACACAATTACATTTCATGTCTAGTCATTATCATTGAAATTAAGGTGAATTTGTAATTTGATAACATAATTGGAACGTATCTTGTATTCGTACTTTTTCATTTATTGCATTTAAGTCAAATTTGGCACTATTTAAAAGTTATTTTACGATTTTCGGTAAATAAAATTATTAAAATGAATAAAATTCCATTTAAAAATTGCAATTACATTCATGCCAATAATTTATCAACAATACTTTAAAGATTGGAAAATCGAACTAAAATTTTAAAAAAACGGTCAATAGTTAATAGTACTTATTCATTGATAATTGGCTATATATAACCTATAAAGATAACAAAAAGTGATTAAACTGAAAATATAATAAAACTTAAACGAAATTTCTTTAAAATGGAACAAAACCTAAAAAAAATTTAGTCACGGAGTAAATTTTTTTGAATTGCTTATTTTTACAGATGAGACCGCCATTTGCATTGCAAATGGCACGTCATGATACGATTTTGCTATGAAAGAAAAGGTGAACGGATTTCGAATGGGGATCGTAAACTGCACTGAATTGTTTTTGTGAGATCATAGTACGAATTTGACAGGCAATCCACAGGCTTAAATAGGATTGCTCTAAGAGCTCTTAATGGTCCCCTGTGGCAACATTGACATAGCGCTATGTAGATCTAAAGCTGCACGAAGCCATTTATTGATGGTTTTCTAAATTAGCTGCCTACCTCAAAAACACCTATAGTATCAATCGTAATTAGACATCTTTGGGGAGAGCCTGATTTGCCTGATTTACTGGAATCTATTATGATTGGTCCGTAAATAACTTAAATTAATGCTTACTGTGCAAAAATGAGAGTCGTAGCCATTGAAATAACAAAGTGACCTTTAAAACCTCACCTGTAAAATTGGATCTTGTGAAGAACCTTTTACAAATGCTACATTCGCGCTTTTGCAGTATCCCCGACAATATCCAAAATGTAAACAAAGAAATGTCATTATCAAATCGTGAACGCAGGTCTGCCAGACTTTCTATTTTTAACGGAATTGGAAAAGTGGCAGGTTCATTTTCTACAATTTTAATTATACATTAAAAAATATTAATAATAAATAAAAATTTTAAGAACAACATACAATAAATTAACAAACGCACTTCGGAGACAAGATAACACGAATGACATCTATGAGACGATTAAATAAATGTTTTTGATCCCCATTGTGTTACCATTATCATAAAATTATTTACGACTTTAAAACGTCAAAAATAGGAAACTATTAATTTAAAATGTATTTTTTGCTCGGTTATCCCTTTTGTTTACATTTTGGACATCTAATTATGATTCATACTATAATTTATCAAGACAATTAAAAAAATATATTTCATTTTCAACGCCTTTCCTTTCTTTGTACCAATAAGTAAACCATGTAAATATTACTTTTAAAAAATGTACAGTAGACCATGACGTTTGATTGTACAGTAGACGATGACGTTTGATTATACCGTAGACGATGTTGGTTTGGTGCGGTCAAAAAAAGAACCATAGAGTAGAAGTACAAAATTAAGTTACCAATGTATGCAATACTGAAATTATACGTGCTCTTCATCTTAATACGGTACGTACTTTGACAAAGCACTGTCTGATTCATAAATTATTTGTTGTACACGTGTAATAGGTCGTAGCGTATGCAAAACGACTTAAAGTCGGTTTTAATTATTAAAAGAATATAAAAAATAATTCTCCAGTCACCACCCACGTCTTTAGAATGACGTATCTGTGATAATAATTTTTTTATGTACATTTCAACAACAAGTTATTTTAACCGAAACATCTATATAACAACTTCTACCTCACTATGTATAGATAAGTGATGTACTCTGTTATTTTAAAAAAGACCTATGTACATTTTACAGGATTTCTTCACATAATTTTGTTTCAATTCCACATTCATACATATTATGTATACATACATACCGTTAAGCCTGTGGCCCAATGGGGTAGGCAATGGCAACAATCTCAGCTTGCTAAGACTCACGTCTTTCTTTGATCTAGCTATTGTCCCTTGCGATCGGTAACAAATATTCCCGCAGCCTTATTCAATAAAATTCAAAACTATCATTTTACAATTCATGAACCTTTTCAATAACTTTGAAAGTACTAATTCATTCTACCAATTACATAACATGTCTAACAAACGGTAGTTTCTCACGTACCTAAATTTATGAAATAATTTCATTTTTTAACTAATATACATTTTATTTTGAACTTTACAAACCTACATACTATCACGCTTGTTTAAATTAGGTAGGCAGAGGCGTGCCTCTCCGCTTGTTTCCTTTTTGTTTAATGTAATATTTTCGACGTAAAAAAATATACTTTAAGGTCTTTTAGCCAATTCACAAATGTTATTTGACGTTCTTTTTACATGCTATATCGTGAGAGACTTATTTATTTTTGCTTTCAGTGTTTCATTTCATAGAAGTAATTTTTGTATAATACAATGTAAATGAGTTCAATAAAATATTACGCATTCATGGAAATAATAGCAAATAATCTGGACACTTACTGAAAAATATTTTTTTTAAATAAGTGATCAAGAAATAAAATATACATTAAAAAAATGGAAATTTAATAAACGAGATCGTATATTTATGATGGAATGTCCTACATAAACACAGAATCATAACTTATTTGTAATACGAGTAGCGTCGTTGATTTGTACAGCCAATTATCTATCACAGAAAAATTGGTGGCACTATGCTCGTATATTACTTTGTGTTATAATTAAAGACGTCACTAAATGACTAACATTTACTGACAATACTGTCAAAATAGTGATTTCCGATTGCATGGTGTTGATACTTTTGACAGCTAAACTGTACGTGTACTATTCGTTTCTTATTGTGTATGTAGAAATGGTAGCTCATATTGTCAAGTTAGGAGTTAGTCATGTTTTGTATAAGTGCAATAGCAATTGGCTTGGTAACCGCAGACCTTCAATGTACAAATACTAAAGAGAACTGTGCACTAGGCTTATATTTACAGTCAACACGTAAAACAGTCTAGACTGTTCGGTCCAAGGAATTTTTTAAAAATTACCAGGAGCACAGAACTTTCTAAGAAGCTCAGCAAACACTCTTACAACGACATGTGTTAAATTCAAGCACTGATTCCGTGAACTATGGTACCAGGCAACAATAAACTCGTGCCGGTATTAGTCCTGCATGTAACATAGTCTACACACAATGTCGCTGAAGAAAATGTCAAAGCATGAAGTACCAGGAGTGCTGAGCTCCCTAGGAGAGGCGGCAGTCTCAGGATCGCGAGTGTGAAGTGCTGTCACGTTGCTGTCAGAAGTAGATGACCTCTTCTTCGGCGGGGGGCGGGGGGTTAGCGGGAGCGGGTGCAGCGTCCGGAGACCGCACTCGGAACTTGTCGGGGAGCTTTGGGTAGGTATTAGTTCTGAAAAGAGAACGTTGATTTTTGTTTTAAAAGCAAGTCTAATTAGCCATCAAAGCAGAAAGAGTAATTCCAATACGATAAAAACTGTTCTTGTATAAAAAGTGTAACCGTTAAGTGTACCAGGCGATTATTCTGAGATAAGAGATATCAAAAACCTTTAAACTGATATCGAAATTACGTTACCTAGCGAGTCAAATGACATCTATAACGTTTTTGAAATGAAACTAAAAATATCCAAAATATTAACGTTAAACGTTCTCATACATTTAATATGACATTCGTAGAGAGGCTGCTGTAAGGTCTCTGAATAAAGAAATACATTTCTCACAGATGGCGCTACGGCAAAAACGTCGTTAAAAACAAAAAAAAAGATCTGCAACAAACACAGAAAAATTCGTAAGGTCTGCTGCTGCGTTCCGTGGTTTAATGTGCAGAGCTTCTGGCACGGATCGCCTGAGGGTGCTGGTTCGCATCCAGCCGGATCGAATGAATTTTTCTTAGTGTTTCGATCTTTGTTATAATAATTAAATAACGAATTTTTATTTTTTAACTTGAATCCGATGGTTTTTCTTTCTTGTTCATTTACAAGTGATCATTCGGTATTGTTTGATTATTTTATAGGAGCGTGATATTTACGTTGTTACCTGGTGGCCTTGTTGGTCAGCTGTTGCGGCGAGGGCAGCGGCGCGGGCGAGCTGCCCGTGCGCGTATGGTGTACCACTAAGCCTTGTGTACCCTATACATTTAAAATCAGTTTACAACCAACTCAAGATACATGCAAAAGTTTGGAGGTATACAGATGAATTATTAACAAGCGTTCATGTCAACAGCACAAGTGTAGGAATAATGTGACTCTAAACACGAGAACGTCATTGAGTAAGTGTGACTGTGAAACGATGTCGGTTTCGCTTGCACACATTTTCGTTTGCCTATACTGGACACATAATGTTCCCTTTTTTAAAAAACCGTTCTTGCGCGAAATTGGAATTCCATTCAAAATTCATGGAATATTTTAAGACGCCATCTAGCGGCACAATATTGAACTATGTTGTTTATAACTGTCACTAATTCATCACAAGGAAACTAAATTATGATATTACTCATTCGTACACATCACATTAGATATTAGCATTCGATAATTCAGTCTACAAATAAACTAAGTGTGCAATCACTGTCTTTGGCATACTGCCCGTTTGTCACATTCGTAACCCACGAGTATGAGTCTGAAAAGAACTCGAAAACTTGGAATGATGAGGAACTATCACAAGAATCATTCAGCAAGACAGATGCACTGAGTTATGGGACGTTTGTTAATGCCAAACGAACTTAGGAAAAAGTCAGTACAACTATGGTAATTGTATACCTTATTGTTTTACACTGTCAATGCGTAATTTTCTGTCTCACTAACCATGTATACGGTTTCGAGTGGATCAGTGTGAACAAAGGTATTAAACAAACTTAACCTTTAACCTCTGAGCTGTAAAATTCGTAATGACTTGCTTATTGCATCATTAGTGAATGACATATGAAGAAACTATTCGATCGCACGAAGCGTTATGCTTCCACATTTATATGGCGAACGGCTATGGAGTGGAATTCCCTGCCTGCAGACTTGATCCCGTTATAACTTGGACCTTTTCAAGACGAGAGTGAATAGACATTATTTAGGTGTGCATGCTCCATCGTCGACCTCATCGTCACTTTCAATCAGGTGGGATGGAGGTCAAATGCACACTTAAAATTGAATAAAAAAAGAAAAAATCTTCAATTACTTTCGACTGAACTGGCTACCGGTACTATCTCAATTTTGACAACTTTACATTGACTTTACAGGTGATGAAAACAATCGTTTGCGTCATTTATATAGCATCTGGTTTATTATATAAAAATACGTAGTGTATGTGTCATAAAAATATGTAAAAACTACGTATTTTTATTTAATAAATCAGAGGGTATATAAATGACGCAAACAATTTTTTCCTTCACCTGTAAAGTCAATGTAAAGTAGTCAAAATTAAGATAGTACCGGTTGCCAGTTCACAGTCGATATACAACTTTCAATTGAAAAGCTGGAATTCCTTTACACTTTTCTGTTGAATGCTTAAAAAGGCTTTCAGAACCAAAAGGTCGAATAGTGGGTCAGGTATCTTAGGGCATAGACTGTACAATCCTCTTTACTTAAGCATATACTTATTCTTCTCTTGTGGAAAATAAACTCAGGGAGAGATACGTAACTTCTACAGAAATAAAAGACTACAGTTATGGGCAACATACACGACACTACTTCACAATAAATCTAACATAGTACGCCGTGATCAAGTCATGAGTACCACATACCAAGCGCGGCGCGGTTTCTACATCTATTCAACCATGCGAAATTGAAAGAATGGAATTTTATGTACATATAACATTATCATAGTAAAATAAGAGAAGTATTGTAACTCAACAAAATAACGACGCGGCTTGTATGTGTGCGCTACTACTGATCGTGTACGAACGCACACATTCACATAATAATGAAAGGCGCGTTGGGACGACCAGTGTTATGCAACGCGACTGCATTGCGAAAGTGTGCGTCAAGCCGGGCTGTTACGTTTGCATGGAGTTACCATACTTGTCTTATTATACTATGACATTATCAACCTATTATACGTCCTACTGCAGGGTACAGGGCTCTTTTAATGAGTTTCCAATGCACATTGAGGACTTCACACGTATGCCAAGACTTGTGAACCTTCTTCGATATTTAAGTAACTTAGAAATTATAGTCATAAGTCTATGCCATTCCGGTCTGATCGTGGGCCTCTTAATTGAGAAACACCATTTCTCCCTCGGTGTAGCCCTCCTGTGTACCGCTCTTCAATTTTATTTTGATTTACTAAATACACTTGAAACCTCTTAACACGGCATTCCTACCAATAAACACAAAACATTCTCTATTACAACTACCATTGTTGAACAACTGTTCATTGAAAAGGTAATCACAAAAATTAAAAAAAAAAACAGAACAAATGTTTTAAAACTTATAGAAACCGCTTATTACGACTTAGCTCGGTGTATGTAGCTCGTTAGCCTTGGTGAAAATATGCTCCCCCGATATTTATATGTTATTACAATGTACATCATTAGATTTACGACGTATAATATGTTAAATAGACAAACATGGTTACATACTAAAATGACTACATTTCATTCGGCGTTGCGTGCGTTGTATGCAAGTGGCATAACATTTTGGCCGCAAATTCGGAACGGTGGTGCATTTTAACGCCCAACGTGTGTCTTGTGTTGGGTGTATCCAACACAAGTCACACATTTAAGCGCAATATACGCACAAACCTTAAACGCACCAGCGCACCGTTGCGAATTTGTGACCTTTGTGTTGGACAAAAAATGTTAAAGGCGTTCACTCGACGCGAATAGTTATCGTGCCCGCGCGGAAATAGAGACGCGCCCGCATTCTAATAGTGCTAGAGTTGATCACAACTCTCGCACTGAAAATATGTAAAATATATGTTTTATTATAAATATTATCCGTTATTTGCTTTGACTTACAAATAAATGGACGACGGGTCTAATACAAAAACCACGAAAAAAATGTCCCAAGTCAACTTATTTAAACGTAGTAATATAATAATAATAATAAAAATCTTTATTTCAGACCATAAGTCCATAAGTGTTAGTATCATATAAAAAGAAAATCTTAAGCACTATTGTTAGTAAAAAATAAAAATGTACAAATAAAATAACAAACTAAACTAAAAAACCTCCAACGTTAGACATGTAGTGACGACCACCGGGCGACCATTGGTCCGTCCCAGTGGTCGGCGAACGCGGACAGGATGGTGTTGGGGCTGGCACGGATGCGGGCTTCGAGGGAGGCGCACCTCTTCCTCATGACAGCCGCAAAGCCGTCCGTCCGCGCCTCGGCAAACATGCCGGACGCGCTGCACCTCCGCGGCAGCCCCAACAACACCCGGAACGCGTTGTTATACTGTACGCGGAGTACGTCGTACGCCTTCTGCGTATAGTTCACCCACAGGGCGCACGAGTAAAAGGAGACGCAAAACGCTTTGAAGAGCGTTATTTTTACGTCCCTCGTACACCGCGCGAACCTGCGGGCCAACATATTGCATCGGACTGCCAACGATCTCCGCTCCCGCTCGATGTCTTCGTTGTCACAGAGGTTTTCGGTGACCCAGTGACCCAAGTACTTAAATTTGGTGACTGTCTTCAAAGGAGCGCCAGAGAGAGTGAGTGGTGGTACATTATAAGTTTTCGTACCAGCCTTAAAAACCATCAGCTCACTTTTACTAACATTGTACTTGAGTCCATGGACCACCGCATACCGTTCACAAAACTGCAAAAGACGCTTGAGAGCACCGATCGAGGGGCTCAACAAAACCATATCGTCTGCGTAGCTGATGTTATTCACGCAAATGCCATCAACGTAACACCCAATTTTAGTTTTGTTGAGCTCCTCGATCAGCTCATTCATATAAAAGTTGAAGAGCCGAGGTGAGGTTAACCCCCCCTGCCTCACTCCGCACTCCAACCCGTACTCGCCTGAAAACGAACCGGACCATCTCACACTGTTTTTCTGGTGGCTGTACCAAAACCTTAAGAGGGATGTGATCTCATAAGGCATGGTCGACTGTTGTTCGATCTTATCCCACAGCACGTCATAAGATACTAGATCGAACGCTCTGGACAAGTCGAGGTAGCACGCGAAAACCGGTGTTCTTCCAGCTGTATAGTACTGGACAGTGCGCTTCAGGCACATGATGGCACTCTCCGTAGACAATCCAGACCTGAAGCCAAACTGCGCGTCATTCAAACGGAGGTGCCCCTTCAAATAACCATCCAGCACACTGTCCAGCACCTTGGCTACAATGGTTGCTAATGAAATCGGCCTATAGTTGGACAGCTCAGAAAAATCACCGGTCTTATTCTTCACAATTGGGACCACAACAGTACGCATGAGATCGTCCGGTAAGTAACAGTGGCCCATACACAGGGTGTAAAACATTGAAAGAACCCTGGGCAAGTGAACACCTGCATGCAGCAGATGTTCAATGCTGAGACCATCGTGCCCCGGTGACTTACCCCTAACCATGGTTTTTATTATAGAAGCCACCTGTTTTGCAGTTATAGTTAAGGTAGTCTCAGATATGGCCCCAGCATTAAACACCCGCGCAGAAGGTCCCAACGGGGAAACCACTTTGAAATGACTCTGGAAGAGGTCGGCTATATCCTTAGGGTCTTGAACACCCGCGATAGTCGCGGGGGCACTCGTTTTGTGATTTAATTTATTTACAGCTTTCCAAAAGGGTCCAAAGCTTTTACTGCAATGATGTTGAGCAATTATATCATTCTTAATTTGCTGTTCGTGGTTTTGACACCATTTTAATTTAGCCTTAAACTGCTTCCTAGATTGGTACATCTCATCATAAAAATAACCCGATGAAGGTTTACCGTGAAGAACCCAGTCTTGGAAACATAACCTAGCTCTCCCATGAGCCCCACTGACATATCGGTTCCACCCCGTCACATAGTGCTTCTTTTTATTACTTCTTACATGAAAACAGGTCACCGCAGCCTCCGTTAAGATACCAATAATATCCTGATACAACCGTTGCAAAACTTGAAAATGATCATTATTGTTGCATATTTTATTACAACATTTACTAAGCTCATGAGGGAAATCTATTAGCTTTAACCTAGAGTTACAAAAATCGT